GTTGTTGTCGTTTTTGGGCGAGTGGGGTTGTTTGCGGTGGTGGGGGTTCCATTACCTGGCATGGCGGCGGCGTGGTGGTGGGGTGGATGTTGGTGTTGACGTTGGAAAGATGTAACGTCAGTAAGTCACAGCGTGTGACGTTGTTCAAACTCACTCGCACGCCCAAATTTTAATCTGTAGTGCCCACTATTTCTATTCAAATTCTGTAGTGTCCATTATTAAATTTTGTAGTATCCTATTTTTCATTTCACAACCTTGTAATGTCCACTTTGTGGGAATACAAAAGCTTGTAGAGTCCAGTTCTTGGGACTATCAAAGTTTGCAGTATGCTTGTAGTGTTTGCTTTTTGGGACTATACAAAAATTTGTAGTGTCCTCTTTTTCATTACAAGAGTTTGTCCTGTCCACTTTTATTACAGAAATTTGTAGTATCCTCTTTTAAGAGTACCAAAATTTGTAGTACCGGATTTCTTTTACCTTGTATTGTCCGCTTTTTCATTACAAAATTTTGTAATGTTCACTTTTTGGGACTACAAGAATTTGTAGTCTCCTCTTTTTTCATTACCCAGTTTTTCATTACAAAATTTTGTAGTACCAGCTTTTGAGACTACCATTTTTTATTACAAAATGTTGTAGTGTTCGCTTTTTGGGACTACAAAAATTTGTAGTCTCCCCTTTTTTCATTACAAAGTTTGTACTGTCCGCTTTTTCATTACAAAATTTTGTAGGACCTGCTGTTTGAGTTTTTAGTGTCCCCTTCTTCAGACTACAAAAGTGTGTACTGGTATCTTGTGGACTCTGAGAACATTGAGAAGTAGAGCTACTTGTACTAAAAGAAATGTGAAATATAAAAAAGAAAAGAAGTAGATGAAAGTGGTACACTAAAAGATCATATGATAGAAAGTCATATGTGTCTAAACATAGAGAAAGAAAGGTCATACAATATGAAGTCGTACACTACAGATTTGGGCGTGAGTTTAACACGCTGTGACTTAGTCACAGTGACGTTACTCCTTTCCTCTCCACAACCACCACACGTCAACGTCAACGTCAATGCCAACGCTCCACCCACCACCACGCTGCCGCCATGCCAGGTCTCGCAACCCCCGCCGCCGCTAACAACCCCACCCGCTCAAAACTGACAACAACCGCACATGCAACGAAAACAACCAGCAAACGACGATCAAGGCCCAACAAACGACCACGACCCCCTAGCAACGACAACCCCAATCAACGGAAACCACGACCGGCAAACGACGACCAGCGCCCAGGACGCCCACGAAAATCGACGAGCAGTGCACGCCACGGCCCTCAAACCATGAACGACCCCACGAGCCAGCTGGGCCACGTCGCAGTCGGCGACGTGGCAACTACACGACACAGACGGACGACGACGACGTCGTCGTCAGTATATATTGGGTATGGTAAGTCCCTCCACCTCTATGACCACCCACGTAACTAACACAACACCACAGCCGTCGACCGCCCACTGGCGATTGACGGACAGCACCCCCCACATCACCATGCCACCCCTCCCCAAAGGAAGGGGCATCCCGCCCGTCAGTGGCCACTTCACGACGCGAAACGACCCCAAGCAGGACAGACCCCAATCAACGGCGTGACGACGGCGTCGAAAGACGTATGACGACGACGTCGACAAGGGCGTACAAACGACGGACGACCACGAGAGCGAACAGACGACGGACGACGAGGGCGTACAGACGACGACGAGAGCGAACCGACGACGACGAGGGCGTACAAACGACGGACGACGACGAGGAGGAGGGCGTACAAACGACTGACGACGACGACGACGACGAGGGACTACAAACGACGCACGGCGACGACGAAGACGCGATGAGCGCCCACCACCCACACACGGCGACGAGGCTCAATACCCCACCCCCACCTTCACCCCCCCTCTCTCTCACTGCCCACCAACCCCTTACCCCTCCTTCACTAACCACTTCCTCCCCTTTACTGCCCATCACCCCCTCACCCTCTACCTCACTGCCCACCACCCTCCCCCTCTCCTTCACTGCCCACCACCACCCCTCTCCTTCACTGCCCACCACCCCTCTCCCCTTCCCTCATTGCCCACCACCCCTCTCCCCTCCCTCATTGCCCACCACCCCTCTCCCCTCTCCCTCATTGCCCACCACCCCCACCCCTTTTCCTCACTGCCTACCACCTCCCTCCCTCCCTCAGTCTCCCTTCCCTTTATTTAATATTTGATGTAGTAATGTAACTTTATGTAGTTATATTGAATAAACTGTGTCTTTCTCTTACATAAATCTACTAAGTATATGTACACTGTTACTTGGATATATGTATAACTTCAGATATATCTATCAAGTATATATATCCTGTTATTTGGATATATCTGTGGTTTTTACTGTGGATATATGTATCTTTGCAAATATATAAATCAAGAGGATGTGTAAAGTGTATATGTAGTGTTACTTGGATATATAACTTCAGATATATCTTCCAAGTATATACTGTGGTTTGGATATATTCTGTGATTATATGCAAGGATGTTAATTTCACACAGTTCATGGGAAGTGGAAATTCACTGTGGATATATTTTTGCAAATATATATATCAAGAAGATGTGTGAAGAAAATACATATCACAATATATTGGCAGTAATTTTATACAGTACCAATGACAACTGGGCTTGTGCACATTTGCAAAGGCCATTTGAGAAGGAGTTGAGAGAAAATAGCCAAAAATCAGAAATCAGAACATGAGAAATTGGGCCATTTCCATTAGAGGTATGACGATACATGAGTTCTACATAGTATATAATATAAGGAAGTGGGTGACAAAAAAGATGACAGTAATACTATGTAGATAGAGTATACTGTTATTGTGAGAGCCCTTCTGATGGTGAGTGAAGACTTACCTGGCTGAGGGAGCGAGCTGTTGAGACAAGAGCCTTATAAGGTAGCGGACAGCCATACCTCGCTAATGTCACATGATCCATCCCAAAACAGTCATTTTTGACAGAAACACTTCTCAAATATTTACCATGCAGGATTTAGCAAATTGAGCCAGAACATTTTGTAGAGAATGCTATCAAATGAGCAACTACCAATTTTCTTGGTGGAAAATTAAGATCTCAAGGAGGAGTTTTGAAATTGGTGTTGCGCATGGTAGCACATTACGTGAATCAAAGTGCACTCTGTGAAATCCGTTTAATTGAAACTCCTCCTTCAGATTTTCAAATCAAGTTCTGAAAACTTGCAAAAGCACCCTGAATACCAATTCAATTAAAATGTTCAGCTTGATTTTGCAGGAGTACACATTGCTCTTCCATTATCATCTACTTTGTAGAAAGTCGCCCAATTAGGACAGCTCATGTGATGTTGGTGAGGTATGGCTGTCTGCTACCTTAGAAAGGAGAGACAAGAGCCTTATAGAAAGGAGAACTCTCATCTCACTTGTGAGTTATCAGCTATAAGGGAATCTAAAAATAGATGCATGAGCTGTAGCAGGTGTTCCGTGAGTAATAAGTTCTAATATGAGGAGTCACTAACTCCGTGTATCCCAGCAGTCTCTTGTCATCAAGATCAGATAACAATGTCAAAGGTGTGAGGATCCTCTTCTGTGAAGGAGATGGTCTATGATCACACTCAAGTGAGGATTGATGTTACAACGGAAATCCAATCCTACAATCCTAGCAACTCTCCAGGAAATCCATGGAAAGTCGAGTGACAGACATATGGATTGGGGATGAGATTGCAATCTGATGAGCTAACACTTCTTCTTATGCAGAAGACTGTTAGTGATCAACTCAGAACAACACTACTTACCTCAGATGGTGAAAGTATGGTAGCATGCCTCTTTCAGAAGCTGATAAAGAATAGGATGATGATACTATTGTACATGTGTGTGGTTTACTCAAGTGGCATGTGACTGTGAGGAAAGCACTCATGTTCTGTTAGCGGAAAGTAAGTAAATGAATATGTACCAAAGATAAGGGAGTTGAATCCCTTGTCATATGAGCAATCAAAGTCACACCAAAGCAAATGATATAGTGTTGTTGTGAGCTTTACAGTGTGACCATAAAACTTCCATCCAAGTGTGGATCACATGGATTGAGCAGTGGCTCTTGGGTGAGCAAACCAATATATAATAGTCCTCCAACTTGAATGATTTTGATTTAGAATGTTCATTGCCCAAGTCAAAACCCTCCAACTTGAACAGTTCTGATCTAGAATGTTCATTGCTCAAGCCATAGTCCTCCAACTTGAATGGTTTTGATCCACAATGTTCAACCATGAGAAAGAACTGGACAGTCAGACTGTTGGAGCCTTCATGTAAGCCATGATAGTGGTCTATATCCTACAAACAGTCAAGGAAACACAGCTCCAGATGGTGGCCAAAACCCTAAAAATAGTAGAAACATCATCTGGAATATATGTCCCACATTACAGAAAATCACAAGTTTTTTTTTAGAAACTGGGACCCCAGACACCCCTAGTGGCTGAAGAAATATATCCTTGGTCAACCCCAGCTGCAAAATATATCCTAAGTCCATCCCAGACCAGAAATATATTTCTACAGTGTGACAGTCACAATTCAGGGTCCAGGCATAAGAAATATATTTGGTGTCCATCTCAGTGAAGAAATATATTTTGGGGTGTGTGACACACTAGAAATATATTTGGTGTGACATTGGACGTCAAAATATATTTATGTAAAAGTGGAAATATACAAGCCCCAGAATATATACAATATAGATATACACCCTGACATTTAGTCCCGTAGTATTCATGGAGTTTGCAAGACTAATAGTCAGTTGTTAGTGGGTGACTGAAGTGATTTTTCAACCCTTGGCTATGGCTTACACAGTACCATACCATGCATCATAAATTACAGTTCAGTAGGCCACTGATGAAAATCTGTTGAGCAACTAAAATCCACCTGAAATTTAATTTGCATAGATCTCAAAGTAGGAGAAATATACACCATCAATGGATATAGGGAAGTGGGGGGTAAAAAATAGTACAGAAAAAGCGAAATTGAGGCTGCTGTGACCACAAAAACACTCACAAAAAATTCATGCAGCACTATACAAAATTTACTATTACAGAATGTGGTTGGGAGCAATGTTCTGTGGTTGTGGTCACACCATGTGACATTCCTGGGAAACGCCACTGACGCAGCTCAGTAAAAGACAAAGAGGCTGCTTACATGATCTATTATGTAATAACTGTCAACCGTCCTCTCTTTATATATTAGATGTACGGTATTGTGCATGCGCGCCGATCAAGGCGTTGAGAGGAAAGGGGCGAGCAGGATCTTGATCTTCTGGCGTACTTGAGTCATTCTCCTTTCTTTCATTATTTTTCTTCCACCTTCACGACTAAACCAGATTGTAAGTCCATTTTACAGCATTCATAATCAATAATATCTCACACTTGCAGACCAAATGGATGTCGAGCTATCGAATGGCTTAGCCATCCAAATCGACACGATTCCCAGCTTGAGCTCTGACAGCAATTGGGGAAAAGATTTTCCCTACACCCCAGAAGAATCCAAGAAACTAAAAGAGCAAGTTTTCAGCTGCAAACGACCCCATAAATCCAGACAAGATTCCCTTGATCGTCTCACTCTCCTGCACACCCAGTCCGAAAAGATCGCCTCAAGTCGTCACCAGGCACCAACCACTCGACACCGATTCATTTTTTCCACCTGGCCTCGCGACCCAAAGGGAAAGCCACTTTTGTCTGAAAACAGCATGCTAGGGAAGATGGTAGCCAATGAGGTACAGCACTGGGGTGCGACGCTGTTTGATTTCTACCATGTCCGACGTATGCACAATTTTGGTGGGTTGCAGTTGACATCGACTGGGAGTAAGTGGATGAAAGCGAGCAGAGAGGATTACACAAAGGAGGAGTTGCAGCTTGTGGAGGAGGAGGAAGATCTGAAAGAGAGCTTCCCTTGTGATATCGCGAAGCTTGTTGAGGATGTGAAATGAGATCTCGAAGACATTGAGCAAGTCTGAGGGGGAAAGAAAAAAGGAGGGATTTATTCGTCCTGTTGGTATTTTCTTTCTGCGTTTTCCGCATCTTGTCTGACCTCTTTCTTTCGTTCTAGGAGCCGTTCGACACGACCTTCAATTCTTTGCCGATTCTTCAACAACGTCTTCCACTACACCTTCTGCCAATGACTCTCTATGTTCATGACCAGTTCCGTTTGCTTCAAGTTCGAGATGGCCACTTCAAGGAACACCATCCTCAACCATGGTCTTCAAAACCCGACATAGTCCACGCCTATAGCCATAACGCCTCTCCTGCTGGCAGAGAGAAGATGGAAAAGGAACAAGAGAAACTGATCTCAGACCATGAGGTCGAGGAAGCTCTTCGGAAGGGTGCTAAGCCTGAAGAACATTCTTCAGCATTAGCACTCTATGGACAGCCTCATCCCTGGATCAACTGAACCCTGGGTATATGCAATGCATGAGCCTTCCTCTCTTCCCAGTTCTGCCGAAGAAGCCCATCTGCACCTCTCACCTTCCCACCTGGTGGGCAAAGGGAATCACTCTTTCGCTTATCACACAGAGTGGGACATCCCACGCGACCTCCTCATCCCAGACGTCCTCTGCAGACAATGTGAGCTTTTGACTTTTAGCCCCACGCTCCATTGTTCCCATTTTAGAAATTATGGTGGTTGTGTTTGGCTGCACCCTCCCCAGACCGAATCGGGTTCTCCCATTCGTAAACATGCCTTGAACATGCCTCAAGTTGACCTGGCTCAACTCACTGAGGCCACCATTCAACTACAGTAGAATAGAACAATAAAATGTCCACATTTTCAACTCTCAGTGTCATCATCCCCTCAAAAAGTCGCAAAATGTCTGTTTTCGCGTTCAAATTTACCTCAAACACGTCACCCCCTCTCGAGCGCGCTAATTCCGACGGATCTGACACGACCAGTTCAACATCCTTGCACCGGCGCGCTAATTCCGACGCGTCGGACACGTTTAATTCGACAATCTTTCCTGAGTGCGCTATTTCTGATGCAGCTGACGTGTTTACTTTGACGATGGGCCATGGGTGCGTTATTCCTCTCCCGCATTCGACGACGACCTTCCATATTCCAAATTATGATCCAGGCCTTGCCTTCATTGAGGAACCGCATTCCACGCCTGTCAATCAGTTGATCGGGACCTTCGAATATGATCGAGAGAATGGGTACGACTTGCAGTGGGACTCATGGGCTGAAATGGAGTCGTTTGTGTGTGCGGAGGAAGAAAGGAAGAACATAGAGCTTGTTAGAAAAGAGATATGGCGTAACAAGAGGCCTAACAAGCGATGGGTCGAGACCCACTACTTCGTTTGTGCACGCCAGGGAGCCGGTGGAGCCAGCAAGTACACAAAGAAGAAGCCTGGGTGGACGCGCAGTGTGCCACTCAAGCGCACTCGCTGTGACTGTCGTCTCACTGTAAAGACCTACCCAGGAATGAGTGTTGTTCTTGGAGCGTATCAATCCGAGCACATGCACATGATTGGGCAAGAAAACGCGTGCTTCACGCGTCTTCCAGACGCGGCACGCACAGAAATTGAGAGGTTGCTTCAT